GTATATATATAATATATAATATATATTATATATAATGTATATATATAGTATATAATATATATTATATATATACAAATATAAATATATATATAAAATTAAATATATAATATAGTATATATAATATTATATATATTATATATATTATATATATAGTAAAAATATATACTTACAAGTCCGAGTCAAGATTGATATCTGAGATTTACATTCATGGATTTCGAATACTACTCGCTACACTTACGGATATCACGTAACTCACTTGCAATATATTCGTTTATAGAAAGAAAGAAGGAAAGGAAGGATCTTCCAGAATCATTATATAAAATTTGTTCTCATGACTGTGTTATTATTTTGTTTCAGGAGTGCCCTTCCGAAGGGTAAAACAGAAGTGAGTTGTTGGTCCGATTGACAAAATGACGACCGACATCTCGGTGGTGCGCGGGGGTTGGGACCCCACGCTACAACAAGAGATTGTCGATGAGTACGAATACGACGGAGGAAACTCGAGTTCGAGACTTTTCGAACGTTCACGGATCAAAGCTTTGGCTGGTACGTCTTACATTTTCTTCAATTTTCCCTTTCTCTTTCACTTCTTCGTGGTGTTCCATTCATCTGATTGAATGTCTTATCAATGGATCACTTGTTTCAAGGCAGATGGCACAATTGTGAGAAGGAGTAAATGTTTGGAAAATTCTTTTGAATTCCGGGGGCAATCGACTTTTTTTTTCTTCTTTTTCGTCGAGCATGAAAGTTCAAAATTTTAAGGTACTCAATTTCGAAGTTTTTAGGGGGAAGAATGCACTGAGAAACTCGTCATTTTTGAAGTAAATCTTTAGTTCTTTTGCTAGTTGCAGTTATTAAGTTCTACTTTTTTTTGTCAAATATATGATTCCAAACTGTTAGATAATAATTGGTGTTAGGTAAAATGTTGATTCAAAATTGATGATATCTTTTCTGACAAGTTAACACAACACTAGGTTTAAAATGTACCAAATAATGATCGTAGTATCTTTATAGTCATTGTTTAATTGAATTAATTAAAGAATAATTAATAGAATAATTTCAGCAAAAAATTTTCATTAATCAAATTAAAGAGAACAAATAGGATTAAAAACTACAATTGACTTAGAGCAGATTTATTTTGAAATTCTTTGCATATGGATCTTATAAATGATCACATATTTTGCACATGGAATATTGGTTAATATTTTCACCCATTAAATTTTAAATTAATGCGATTAAGAAATACAGTTAATTTGCAGTTATTTATTTTGAAATTCTAGCTATTTATATACGTTGGGTATATAAAAATGCAATTTTATAAATGATAGGTATATTTTATATGTAGATCGGCAACCGCTTGCACGATGATATTTCGTTGACGAGTTGTTGGGATATTAAAACGGCAAAGAATTATTGCCACATCCTTTGATATAGATACTGGTTTGATAAGTGCACACTTTAAAGTCTATATTCTTCGTAGAAAGTGCTTAGTAGTAGCCGTTTGGTGAATCTAAAATCATCCAGCGAGCAGTTGAGTGTATTAAAACAAAAAAGAAAAAAAAAAAGGAAAAAAAAATGTCTAGAAAGAAAATATCGCGACTGATATCACGAGATAGATAGGCGCGAGTTTATTTGAAAATGAATTACGATAAAGTTGTGATCGACTTGCGAGGTAAGTACAGGAAATTCGTTCAAAATCATGGCAATTTAACAAATTCTTTTCATTGGAAATTTACTAAATTTTCTACTTTTGTTTTTCCTTTGCATTAATCTAGCAATTAACAGTGAAAACTTTTCTGTAAGATTTACTTACACGTGCAATTTTATTTCATTTCAACTGCATAATTAAGAAGTTCGGATTTGTTTTACATTTTCCCGTCCAGTCTTAATTGTTTCATTTCACTTTGAATTTACAAGATTTATTTAATTTCCTATTTTTATTTCTTTTTCTTTGCATTAATTTAGCGATCAACCGCATTGAAAGTGATTGAAATTTCTTTGTGACATTTACTCAATTTCTTATTTTTGTATTTGTTTGAAATCAGGTGAACGTGAATTGGTACAAAAGAAGACTTTCCAAAAATGGGTGAATTCCCATTTGGTTCGGTGTTCCTGCCGAATCGGCGATCTGTATGTCGACCTTCGAGACGGGAAGATGCTTATCAAGCTTCTCGAAATTCTCTCCGGAGAACGTTTACCACGACCTACAAAAGGGAAAATGCGAATTCATTGCCTGGAGAACGTCGATAAAGCGCTGCAATTCCTTCGCGAGCAACGGGTGCACCTGGAGAACATGGGATCGCACGACATTGTCGATGGGAATCCTCGTTTGAGCCTCGGCCTCATCTGGACCATCATCTTGCGGTTCCAAATTCAAGACATCACTATCGAGGAAACCGACAATCAAGAAACGAAATCAGCGAAAGACGCTTTGCTCCTTTGGTGTCAAATGAAAACCGCTGGCTATCACAACGTGAACGTGCGAAATTTCACCACATCTTGGCGCGATGGATTGGCCTTTAACGCCATCATCCACAAACACCGTCCAGACTTGATACAGTTCGAGAAACTCTCCAAGTCTAATGCTATTTACAATTTAAATAATGCATTTAACGTAGCAGAGGACAAGCTTGGTCTCACGAAACTTCTAGACGCTGAGGATATATTCGTCGATCATCCTGATGAGAAATCAATCATTACCTACGTAGTTACGTATTACCATTACTTCTCCAAGATGAAGCAGGAGACTGTGCAAGGTAAAAGAATAGGCAAAGTAGTTGGCATTGCCATGGAGAACGACCGTATGATTCACGAGTACGAAAGCCTGACTAGCGACTTATTGAGATGGATAGAAGGCACCATAAAAGCTTTGGGTGATCGTCGGTTTGCTAACTCGTTGGTAGGTGTCCAATCTCAGCTCTCCCAATTCTCTAACTATCGTACGGTAGAGAAACCTCCGAAGTTCGTCGAGAAGGGCAATTTGGAGGTGTTGTTGTTCACTTTGCAATCGAAGATGCGAGCCAATAATCAAAAACCGTACACGCCGAAGGAGGGTAAAATGATCTCGGATATTAACAAGGCGTGGGAGAGGTTGGAAAAAGCGGAGCACGAGCGTGAATTGGCTCTCCGTGAAGAATTGATTCGCCAGGAGAAACTGGAGCAGCTGGCAGCGCGATTCAATCGAAAGGCGAGCATGAGGGAAACCTGGTTGTCCGAGAATCAACGTTTGGTTTCTCAGGACAATTTCGGTTTCGATTTAGCCGCCGTGGAAGCCGCAGCTAAGAAACACGAGGCCATCGAGACGGATATTTTTGCCTACGAAGAACGAGTCCAAGCTGTCATGGCTGTTTCACAGGAATTGGAAGCTGAGAACTATCACGATATCGAACGTATTAATGCTCGCAAGGACAACGTTCTTAGATTGTGGAATTATCTGTTAGAATTACTTCGCGCTAGAAGGATGAGATTAGAGCTGTCTTTGCAACTTCAACAGAACTTCCAGGAGATGCTGTACATCTTGGACAGTATGGAGGAAATAAAAATGCGCCTGTTGACCGATGATTACGGGAAACACTTGATGGGCGTTGAGGATTTGTTGCAGAAGCATTCTTTGGTAGAAGCTGATATCAACGTCTTGGGTGAAAGAGTCAAAGCTGTCGTTCAGCAGAGCCAGAGATTTCTGGAACACGGAGAAGGTTATCGACCATGTGATCCAACTACCATCGTTGAACGCGTACAACAGCTCGAGGATGCTTATGCCGAATTGGTACGATTGGCTGTTGAACGTAGAGCCAGACTGGAGGAGTCGCGTAAACTGTGGCAGTTCTACTGGGACATGGCCGACGAGGAGAATTGGATAAAGGAGAAGGAACAGATTGTATCGACTGGAGACATTGGTCACGATTTGACAACTATAAACTTGCTGTTGTCCAAACATAAAGCATTGGAGAACGAGATCCAGTCTCACGAACCGCAGCTGATGTCTGTCGCTGCTGTCGGAGATGAATTAGTTCGTCAGAAACACTTTGGTTCCGATAGGATTCAAGAGAGACTGCAAGAAATCCTGGGAATGTGGAATCATCTCTTGGATCTGGCTGCTTTTAGAAGGAAGCGTTTGGAAGAGGCTGTGGACTACCATCAACTGTTTGCCGACGCCGATGATATTGATATCTGGATGCTGGATACTTTGCGACTCGTCTCGTCGGAAGACGTTGGCAGAGACGAAGCCAATGTCCAATCGTTGCTGAAGAAACATAAAGATGTGACGGACGAGCTTAAAAATTATGCTGCTACTATCGACCAGCTTCATCAACAGGCATCCTCTCTTGGTGAACAGGACGCCAAATCGCCAGAAGTATTGGAGAGATTAGCATCCATAGATTCCAGATACAAGGAACTTATGGAACTTGCAAAGCTTCGCAAACAGAGATTGCTAGACGCATTATCGTTGTACAAGTTGTTCAGTGAATCAGACGGAGTAGAGCAATGGATTGGTGAGAAGAACAGGATGTTGGAGACTATGGTACCAGCCAAGGATATTGAAGACGTCGAGATCATGAAGCATAGATACAACGGCTTCGAGAAAGAGATGTATGCCAACGCTTCGCGAGTTGCTGTGGTCAATCAGCTCGCCAGACAACTGTTACACGTCGAACATCCTAATTCCGAGCAGATTGTGGCACGCCAGAACGAATTGAACCAGAAATGGGCTGAGCTGCGTGAAAAAGCAGAGAACAAGCGCGAGGAATTGAACTCTGCTCATGGTGTGCAGACCTTCCACATCGAATGTCGCGAGACAGTGTCCTGGATCGAGGACAAGAAACGTATCCTTCAACAGACGGACAGTTTAGAGATGGATCTGACGGGAGTCATGACTTTGCAGCGTCGATTGAGTGGAATGGAACGCGATTTGGCAGCCATTCAGGCGAAATTGGACGCTCTGGAGATGGAGGCTCAGAATATCCAACAACAGAACCTGGAAGATCCTGAGGTGATCAAAGGAAGAATCGATCAAATTCACACCATTTGGGAGCAATTGACGCAGATGTTGAAGGAGCGTGACGCAAAATTGGAAGAGGCAGGTGATCTTCACAGATTCCTCAGAGATTTGGATCACTTCCAAGCTTGGTTGACCAAAACGCAAACTGACGTGGCCAGCGAAGATACTCCAACCACTTTGGCCGATGCTGAGAAACTCCTGACACAACACCAAAATATTAAGGAAGAAATTGATAATTATACCGATGACTACCAGAAGATGATGGAGTATGGTGAAAGATTAACCAGTGAAGCTGGTGATGGTGATACGCAATACATGTTCCTCAGGGAGAGACTGAACGCCTTGAAGATGGGCTGGGAGGAGTTACACCAAATGTGGGTTAACAGGAAGATTTTACTGTCCAATTCTCTTAATCTGCAGATTTTCGATCGCGACGCTCGCCAGGCAGAAGTGCTTTTGTCCCAGCAAGAGCACATTCTGGCCAAGGATGAAACACCAGCGAATTTCGAGCAGGCGGAGCACATGATCAAGCGACACGAGGCGTTTATGACCACGATGGACGCGAACGACGAGAAGATCAACTCCGTGGTACAGTTTGCCGGACGACTTGTCGACGAGGGTCACTTCGCGGCAGACAAAGTCAAGAAGAAGGCAGAGAGCATCAACGAGCGTCGTCGTGTAAACCGAGAGAAGGCGAACCAATATATGGAGAAGCTCAAGGATCAGTTGCAGTTGCAGATGTTCTTACAAGACTGCGAGGAGCTGGGCGAATGGGTTCAGGAGAAACATATCACCGCTCAAGATGAGACTTACAGAAGCGCCAAGACAGTGCACAGCAAGTGGACAAGACATCAGGCGTTTGAAGCTGAAATCGCAAGTAACAAGGATCGTTTGCAGCAATTGCAACAGGCTGCTGAAGAATTGATTCAACAGAAGCCGGATCTGGCTGAGATCATTAAGCCTAAAGTGGCAGAATTGGCTGACCAATTCGAGGAACTTGAAACCACCACTCACGACAAAGGTGAACGCCTGTTCGACGCGAATCGTGAAGTCCTTATTCATCAGACTTGCGACGATATTGATTCTTGGATGAACGAACTGGAGAAACAGATTGAAAGCACGGATACTGGTTCTGATCTGGCGTCAGTGAACATCTTGATGCAGAAACAACAGATGATTGAAACACAGATGGCCGTGAAAGCGAGACAGGTTACGGAGTTGGACAAACAGGCTGAACACTTGCAGCGTACGGTGCCCGAAGACAAGATGGAAGAGATCAAGTGCAAAAAGGAGAAGGTTGCACAGAGATTCGCTCAACTCAAAGCACCATTGATCGATCGTCAACGTCAGTTAGAGAAAAAGAAAGAAGCCTTCCAATTCAGGCGCGACGTCGAGGATGAGAAACTCTGGATCGCCGAGAAGATGCCTCAGGCTACCAGTACGGAGTATGGAAATTCGTTATTCAATGTGCACATGCTAAAGAAGAAGAACCAGTCTTTGCGTACTGAAATCGATAACCATGAGCCCAGGATCAATTTGGTCTGCAACAACGGTCAGAAACTTATAAACGAGGGTCATGAGGACAGTTCTGAATTCCAGAAACTGATATCTGAATTAACGGAGAAATGGAAGGAGCTGAAGCATGCTGTGGATGATAGGAACAAGCATCTCTTGCAAAACGAGAAAGCGCAGCAGTACTTCTTTGACGCGACAGAAGCGGAATCTTGGATGAGTGAACAGGAACTGTACATGATGGTAGAAGATCGTGGCAAGGACGAAATTTCTGCCCAGAACTTGATGAAGAAGCACGAGTCTTTGGAACATGCTGTGGAAGATTACGCAGAGACTATTCGCCAGCTTGGAGAAACCGCCAGGCAACTTATTAACGACCAACATCCTCTTGCTGACCAGATTGCCGTTAAACAATCACAAGTGGATAAATTGTACGCTGGTCTGAAAGATCTTGCTGGTGAACGTCGAGCTAAATTAGACGAAGCTCTTCAGTTGTTTATGCTAAACAGAGAAGTGGATGATCTCGAGCAGTGGATCGCAGAGAGAGAACTGGTAGCTGGAAGTCACGAATTAGGTCAGGATTATGATCACGTGACGCTTCTTTGGGAGAGATTCAAAGAGTTTGCTCGCGACACCGAGGCGATAGGCTCAGAGAGAGTGGCCGCAGTGAACGAAATTGCAGATTCTTTAATAGCAACTGGTCATTCTGATGCTGCTACGATCGCAGAATGGAAAGATGGTTTGAACGAAGTGTGGCAAGATCTATTAGAATTAATCGAAACTCGTACGCAGATGCTACAAGCTAGCCGAGAATTGCACAAGTTCTTCCACGATTGCAAAGACGTGCTTGGAAGAATCTTGGAGAAACAGAACGCCATGTCTGACGAATTAGGCCGTGACGCTGGCTCGGTTTCAGCTCTCCAACGGAAACACGGCAACTTCATGCAAGATTTGTCTACGTTGCAGAGTCAAGTGTCGCAGATACAAGAGGAATCTGCTAAGTTACAGGCCAGCTACGCTGGAGACAAAGCTAAAGAGATTACTAATCGTGAAGGAGAGGTAGTTGCTGCTTGGAATAACCTTCAGTCGCTTTGTGATGCTAGAAGAACTAAATTGGAGGATACCGGCGACCTGTTCCGATTCTTCAACATGGTTAGGACTCTCATGATTTGGATGGATGATGTAGTTCGCCAAATGAACACTTCAGAGAAACCTCGCGACGTTGCTGGAGTGGAATTGCTAATGAACAACCATCAGAGTTTGAAAGCGGAAATAGATGCCAGGGAGGACAATCTGATGGCGTGCATCAACCTGGGAAAAGATTTGTTAGCTAGAAATCATTATGCTAGCAGCCAGATCAAGGAGAAATTGGTAGCTTTAACTAGTTACAGAAACGCGTTGCTTCATAGATGGGAGGAACGTTGGGAGAATCTACAACTCAGTGCGTATATGGATATCTTGTTAAATACTTTATTGCTAGATTGTTTTTACGCATTTTATAGACTGCATATACTATGCAAAAATATATAAATTGTTTAAAATGAAGTACTAATCGTAATAATTAATACATAAAGTAAATTTCTGCTGAGATTTCATTCTTTTTTAGCAATGTAATGAATAATTATAACTTGTTTATTACAATAAAATTAATATCTGTGTGGTATTGCAGTTTTGGAGGTGTACCAATTTGCAAGAGATGCGGCTGTTGCTGAAGCATGGTTGATTGCCCAAGAACCGTATCTTATGAGTCAAGAACTTGGTGTAAGAGGCCTTAAGTTAATTTTTAACATGATTCCTTTAATGGTTTTACCAATCGTAATTATTACAGCACACGATCGACGAAGTGGAGAACTTGATTAAGAAACACGAAGCATTTGAAAAATCGGCAGCTGCTCAGGAAGAAAGGTTCAGTGCCTTGCATCGACTCACTACGGTTAGTAGTTCTCTCTCTCTCTCTCTCTCTCTCTCTCTCTCTCTCTTAAAATCAGAGATTAGTTTACTAAATGAAAATATTTGTACGTGTTATAGTTTGAGTTGAAGGAAATGAAGAGGAGAGAACAGGAACGAGAAGAAGAGGAGAGACGCAAAAAGGAAGAGGCCGCGGCAGCCGAGGCAGCTCGATTAGCTAAAGCAACACCAGTAACTAGTCCAGACGAACCACCGAGCGAAAGGTAGTATTATATTAAGTTTTTATAATTTTCATTATATTCTCTGCTTCAAACTAGTTAGCAGCATGTATATAATACTTAGCCAGTAATGAAAGTATATTGCACTGGATCTAAGATATGATAGAAAGAAAATAAAATAAAACAAAATATTATGATTGTAATAATATTAAAACATTTTTTAACAGAGCCGAAGCGGAAGGTGTACCAACTGGAGAACGTCCCGCTGAAGACGAGTCACATGGTAAGATAATAACACGTACACTGCATAATATCTTGAAACTCAGTTTGATAAGAGTGTCGTATACATTGTATTATAATGCTCTTTGCATTAGAGAATACGAATAATAATAATTATTTAAAAAAATAATAATTAAAATACTTAAAAGGAAAAGCAAATTTTCTTTGGAAAATATCTCTATCTATTTGTCTTGCAAAAGCAACAATAATACGGAATTGATAATCGTTAAGCGCTCAATTCGACCAAGGATGAATAGAATGTTTATTTTTTTCTTTTCTTTTTTTATTATTCATTCTACTAATACATGTATCTTACAATTGTGCTTTCCACGTATCTTGTACACTTAACTCTTAGGCGACTGGTTTTACAAACTGGTTTGTTTGGATAAGCATGAAATTGCTAACAGCACGTTTATTTTTGCCTTTCTCTCTTTCCAACCCATTCTCCGCTCCATGTGTTTCCAATGAATCCCGATTATTGATCCTTTCCTGAAACGCACCTAAAAATGCGGCACGGAATGCACAAACCACAGTGGCACATCGCAAGGCTTCTACACGTACACCACAGCCTCAAGATAAGCCCAAGGAAGGTGAGTGTCCTGATGAAACGAATATCATCATTTTTGCACTCGAAGTTTTATTGTTTTTATTTCTAAATAATGATCTTGTTTTTTGTTTATTATATTTATATTATGTGATTCAACATCGTATATCACATTTTGTTTGTGTCATTTTAATTACCATTTAACGCATTGTATGTCTGCTAATTTTTTTATTGTAATTTTCTGTTTCATTTTTATTGTAATTTTCTGTTTCATTTTTTGCACAATTCACTTTTACATCATTGGACTTCATTCATTGTAGTTAATGAGTGCAAAGAATTAAAAATCTTTTTCAGAATATCATTATGTATTATGACACAATATATTGTGTACTAACTTTATTATCGTTTCTTAATGGCAACACTATTAAATACCAGTGCCCTTTTTTATAAGAGACGATCGTGTCTTTCAAAAATATTATAATTCTATGTGGCTGGCTGTTCATTCATTCCACACTAGTAACTTTATCTGTTTCTGGACTATATAGGCTCTGGTATTTGATGATTGAATTGCTTTTTATATATAGATCCTGCTATGTCGATCCTCTAAGCTGGTGATGGAACATAAAATCAAATCATCTGGGAGCGTTTTATGGCAGATTTTTCTTCTTTTCTATCCAAGGAAATATTTACCCGAATTGTGCAATTATATTTGTAAAAAAATAATGTAAACCTTTTAATCTTCTCAGAAGCATAAAACTAGCTTCTAAAATTCTTATTTGATTTTTACACAATTCAGGTTAAATAATAAATTTCACATGTTCTTTCAGCATATTCATAGGCAAATTATTACTGCCTCTCGCTATAATCACAGCTGCAAACGTTTATTTGCTTTCATTAACTTTTTTAGCAGGTGATGGAGTCATTCTACCTGAGATACATGAGTATTTATATCGAAAAATTATCAAAAAATTATTAAAGTGACATCAGAAAAGTTTTTTAATTAAAATTGAACTTTTGCATGTGTTTTATATATATATATATATTATATAATTATTAAATGTTTATTTTTTGATTCATATATAAATTAATGCTATAATTTTTCAAGTAAAAGTGGTGGGTACAAATTACATAAATTAGTTCTTTTAATAAGTTCTTCTTCATAAGTTTTCAATTAATCACGTACGACAAAATTTAATCTTTGAAAGGTAAGCACACGCAGTGACTATACCAATATTATAGTGTTAAACTTTGATTACAGTTTTTAAGTACGCTTGTATGCATGTATATCTAATAGCTTTTCTTGCAACAGTAGATGCTTTTAGTGCAACTTGTCTAGTTTTATTAATTCATTGCAATCTAAAATTCTTTTCTCATCTGTGTTTCAATTTCTGATGCTTAAAAATTATTTATTGTATGTGTTTGCTTACTCTAGAAAAGTAATGTGATAAAATGTTTAGTTTGTCGTATTAGATATTTTGCTTATCATAAAGAGAGTGATATTTTCACTCCCAGTATACAATTTTAAAGTATAGCATGTTAAAATTGGTATGATGGTATATAGTGCATGTTCAGAAACCTGCACGTCAATCTATGCGAGGAGAAGCAACACCACCTGCCACTTCCTTGAAATCTCCACAAGGTCTATCTAGTCCAACAAGTAAGTTCATTTTAAGGATTATCATTTTTTTTTATTTGTCATCCACGAAAAATACTTACAAAACATATCATATTATATCAAATTATAATCCAAAATTCATCTCAGATCATCTAATAGAATTCTTTTCCACAATTTCATTAAATTAAAATTTAGAAAAATATCTAGTGTAAAAGAAGCTCTCTTTTTCAGTAAAATTAAAATTAGGAAGGATACTATATGAATCATATAAATAATTATTTATTAGAAGGTGGTTATTTATGGAAAGATGAAAAGTTTGAAGATGCAAAAATATACAAAATGCATATAACAATCAAAATTGATATAAAAATAACAATAAAAAGAACGTGACAAGTATGCTTTTGTTGATTTTTTAATTTTGAGGTCATTTTGTGATTGAAGAGGCATATTTTAAGACAAAATAGTTGAAAGTAGAAATAATCACTTGAGTACAAAAATACAGTTGATAATGTTTTGCACGAACCAGAATTATAACTGTTAAGACAAATAATATATTTAAATATATTCATCCAATTATATACAAACTATTAATTATATTAGCTATTGATATTATGATATTATTAATTTTTAAAATTATGAAAGAAGTCATATAGGAATCAAATAAGGTAAATTTGATACAATGAAATTAATCAACAATATACCAAAATGAAAAATTGACTTATCATGTTTAAAATGTAGTTTTAACTACATATAAAATATCCAAATTATTATAAAATTTAATAAATAAATTATTAAAAAATTGTTAATGCTGTTGAAATTTTATCTTTTTAATTGTATTCATAAAAATATAAATTTGGATAAATATTCACAATCTAATAATTATATATTAAAATAGGTTGATTCGTTATTTGTAATGCTTAGTCTTTCCCTCGGACCAGCAGGACAAGTTTTTCCAAATTCGTCGACGAATTTACACGCTTCTAAAATTCGTAGAGTCTCGTCGACAGAACGAGCCAGACATATCTCATTGATCGTGATATGTCGAATTAACTGGTTTTTATCGATGATGAACAGTCCCTTCAGAGATACTCCTTCTTTTTCGTCGAGTATTCCATACATTCTCGATATATTTTGATTTTTATCTGATAAAACGGGCATTCTCATTTCACCTAGACCTCCTTGCTTCCGGGGTGTAATAATCCATGCTAAATGTGTGTACAGAGAGTCCGTAGAAATCGCAACTAAGTGACAGCCTGTTTGTAATTTGAAGTTTAGCATTGATTAAAATGAAATATCTTGTGAATTTCTTGATATGACGTATGAAATAAAAGAAAATGAAAGAAAGTAAAAAATAAGCAATTTTTGAATACAGAATTATTATGTTAAATGTATAGATCATTTAATTCATTAAATGTATTTATTTGTAATACATATACTTATAGTTTAATTGCTACATAAAATAAATAAAAAAGAGAAAAGCAGAATATATGGGAACAAAAGTGAGCTAAAGCACGTTCTTTTGAATATTAAAATAGAACTAATTTATTTCAAGTCCAGCTTTGATAAAATTAATTTGTTACAAATTACTATAAACGAATGAAAGGAAAAGAATATCTATTGAATATAATTTACAACATAGATGAAAGAAAAGAAAAGAACATAAAGGATGTATAGTTTATACCTAATTTATTGAATTCCTCAATTCGGTCATTGAACTGTATTATTTCTGTGGGGCAGATGAACGTGAAATCATAGGGATAAAATAACATAATCAAGTACTTTCCCTTATAATCATTTAGAGATATATCTTCCATGTTTAAATTTATTATCGCCGTGCCTGACCAGGTTGGTGCTATAGTTGACAGCGCTGGTACCATGTGCACTTCCGGTTTACGCAGCTTTTGCGGTTGCTCGCTGCAATAGAAATTATTTTGTTCTATTTTGCTTCTAAGAAACGAGTCGGAAGTCGACATGATAGATTTAAATAAGAATAATAATCGTATAAAATTGACGTTTCCTGTAAACGCGAATGTTGGCAAATATCGTTTTTGATAGCGAAAACAAAAGTTGGGAGATCTTCTCTATGGAAAATTTCAATGACGTAAACAAATTTCAAAACTTGTCTCCCTTGTGAAAAACACGATATTCCATAACATAATCTATAATCCCCACAGTGTTTTCAATTGCTTTGTCATTGATGTTAAAACTATTAAAAAAGAAAAAGTTGGTAGAGGAGACGAGTTATTTTTACAATACATTAACTGTACTGAAATAGAAAAATTGTAGAATTTTAAAATTATGCTTTTCATAGTAGATTATTAATTATAAATTAAAAGAAAATGTGATACGTCATGTTCTTTGATTTTTGTAGGAATTTTACAAATTTATATTTAATATATTATATTTATATCATTTACATTCAATGTATCATATTAGAATATTCTCACTTATCAACCAGGTAACATAGAAATTGTAAAATTCACAAAATTAACTTATCATATTTTTCTCGTGCAAGCTTCAATTCATTATTCTGATTCTTTTTCTAACTAAAAGTTATCTTCTTTTCTTTTTTCTCTTTTTTTAACTTCAGTAGCAATAACATTTAATAAATTATCAGCAGAGAAACTGGCAAAATAAAAAAATTATAGTCTTTCGTAATCGAAGGAACTTTAATTGCAGTAATTGATAATTTGAATAAACCAATAAAAACCAATTAAAAATGCAGTTAGTGTGCTATAAATTCACAGTTAATTAATATTCGTAATAATAAACGTATTGTATTTTCTATAATTTTTAATTCTTCTTTTGATAATCGTAAGAAGAGATGAATTCAAGATATCAAAAGAGAATTGCATTTATTGAGATACATGCAATCGTGAAGACTAAGTTACGGTACGATAATTGCTATTGACTTGTAGAATTAGGATCGTGAAGGTAACTTTTAAAAATCAACTCCAAAAAAAAAAAAAAATTTTAGCAATGTTCTCAAAAATAAACGTAGTCCTTACGATGCATGCATCTTAATAGTATTTTGTATCTTGCTGGGTTTCGCATGAGCATGTCGCATGAACAGCAAAAGCATGCGAATTGAACATTTCACGTGTTTCTATTTCCTCTGTATTCCCCTAAGTTCACAATTCTTTATAATGCTAGGCTGTCGATGTGACTCGATGTAAGTAGTTAATAAACGTCGCGTGTGTTGCGTGTGTCGTGTTAAAAGCTCCGAAAGGTGGAAGCGGTTCCGAGTCTGGTACTATAAGACGTAAGGAACGTAGTCGCAGCAAATCGCCGTTCAGGAGCTTCCGCTGGAGGAAGTCCGCCAAGTCGCCGAGTTTAGATCGAAGTGGCGTGAGTGATGATGAGCGCAGCATTTCCGGTAAGTAATTCTATTCAAACGTCATCCACTGGAGCTTTTTTATGCTTACCCACCATTTTAAGCATTGCGAGAATAATTCTTTATTATTACGATGATAATGAAATTAATGTCCCACTTGAAAAAGATCTAACGAAAATTCAACGGCAAAATTATTATTTAACATTAGTTGATAATTAACATTAGTTTTAACATTAGTTGATAATCGATCGAGATACATTAATAAATTAATAAATACTTACTATTTAGGTTTCGATGCGAGCTCTTGAAAGATAAATCTCCATGGTGTCAAGTAATCACTAAACATTTTACTATTTTAGCTTCGTTGAGGATTACAGGAAGCGTTTCCTCCCTAATTTCCTGAATTATGTATGTGTGTCTCGAGTACGTGTACAAGGGATGTTGAATAAAACGTCAGGAATCTGGGCTATGGTAATATTAATGTATGCATCCTACTAATCATACGTGATCAGAATCATGTTTGCGGTTGGTGCTTGTACCGTGAATGCGTGTACACGTTTGGATGGCTCAATTGCATTCCCCAGCATCGTTTTATAACGTCCATTTGATTAACTGTTTAGGTCATCCTACTCGGAACGGATTCCTTCCAGTGAATGTATAATTATGTTTGCAGCTGTTGTTACACGTTAGAAAGGAAGCTGGATGTTGTAACGTAGATTGTTTTTTCTTTCTCTTCTAAATCTTCGCATATCATTCGTTCTACTAGTAGTTCCTTGTATCTCCGCTTGTTTATTAGTTTCAGCTGAAATTAAATTTGATTTTACAGAACAACGAAGTCCCACCGACGATGAATTTGAGGGCGTGTTGCAACGAAAGCACGAATGGGAGAGCACAACGAAGAAGGCGTCGAATCGATCCTGGCACAAGGTGTACATGGTCGTTCGTGGACAGAGCTTGTTTGTATATACGGACCAAAAATCATACAAGGCAGCGCCCGATCAACCGTACAAGGGAGAGTCTCCTTTAGACCTTAGAGGAGCGACTATTACCGTGGCGAGCGATTATACTAAGAAGAAACATGTCTTCCGAGTAAAGTGAGTTTCGTTTTTTACGACATACAACATATAAAATAATATACCATGTAAATTCAAATTGTAATTGTAATGTAAATTTGTAAATTGTATTTCTCCAAATTTGTTGTAACATGATATTTGTATTAAGTACATTAATATATAGTATATTACCAATGTTTCTTGCTCATTTTTTCTCTATGATTATAAATGATAAACGATTAATTTTTCATATCTTTCAGGTCACAGAGCGGATCAGACTTCCTATTCCAGGCTAAAGACGATGCTGAAATGAATGAGTGGGTTACTGTGTTGAACCAAGCGGCACAGGGTACATCAGGTGCGGGCACGTCCAGAGCGCATACTTTACCCGCGCCTACACAAGCCGAGACCAAGCGGCGTAGTTTCTTCACTCTCAAGAAAAAGTGAGTCTCTCATTAGAAGTATCTGAAAAGAAAAGAGTTCAGCAAAAAGGGATGATCGCGGTATGATATACGTAACGTCTACATATCATATATAAAGTAAAAAGAAAGATGAAAGAGGAAATACGGGAAGATTAATGGAATTTGATAGGAAACGAAATATCATTAGCCAAGCGCTTTGCTGTTCAAATCTTATTTTCACTTCTTTAATCATCGTTCATCTTAAGTCGATTATACATTTCATAAGAGAACTTCTCATTATTTATGTCTTATCTTCCATACAATGTTTTCTTCATGTTGATGATTGTCAAATCACTTTCTTTTATTTATTTATTTATTTATTTATTTATTTATTTATTACGACGTTGTGTCAATTGTTAACGCGAATCATTGTTAGTAGGCATTGTTAATCGCTCGTACTAGAGCTTATTTACAGGGTATGTATGTTTAATCATGGACTTCTTAATGTTTTCTCCTTGCTCTTGCATTAACCATTCAGTAATCTTGATTTTTTCGCTAGCTTGTCTTATCATCTGTACCCTTGTGAGAGCTAAATAAAACTCTGGTTAAAAGTTCCGGTTTGAAAAGCGTGTTCGAAGGTGTAGGTATTTAACAAATATTTTGCTTCCTTTTTCTTGATGTCATTAATCATCATTATACGAGTGGCAGGGTGATCACCTCGGACCCCGATGATAGTTATTTACGATTGTTCAAAGGATTCGAGGTGTCATTCCCTCGTGTCATTTTCATTTCACGGTTAATACGTTTAACGCTGGCAGACATTTCTCCATTTCATTCGATCACATTTTGCATTTATCATATTTTAGAAAAGCCAAAAAGTAGAAAGTGTGAAACCAATGAACTGTAAGAAAACAGTACACAATTGGAACAACATTTAGAGAGATTGCGGTGAGTCGCATCAATCATTAGATCATTTTTATCGTCGTACTACTGCACGATTGATCATAATTTACCAATTGTTTTTTTTTTCTCTCTTCTTTTGGTACACCTTTTTTTTTCTTTTTTTTTTTTTTATTCCATGTATTAGTATATCTCGAAAACTACAAGAGGAATGTTCTTCCAATTGTGAATGCGGAATGATATATATTATAAATCGAGGTTCTCTATAAAGAGAAGAACCTGTATACGTACAGTGCTTAACTGTGTTTCATATGCGCGCTTATAAAAGGTTCCTTTGATAACGTTCAAGTCGCTAATTACAGTCATATCTCGTTATCCATAATATATACATACTGTGTCTCATAACTATAAAATTTTCCAAAAACTTCAATTTTTATATCCTGTGTTACATATTCTATAATCATGAAAAGGAACGGAGTATGTCATAGGAAAGTAATTTATGTTCCTTCTTAAAAAGAAAATTAACTATAAGGTCAGCATAACAAAGTTATTTTATTATAAAAAATTGAATTCAAAATAGAACAGCATTCTAATTAATAAAAAGTCAAATTCTAATCAGATTCTGTCGCGTTATATTTTATGCATCGTATCTATATAAAAATTGAAAATTTTCGAACGATTTTGTAGTTACAAGATGCAGTGTATATTCTTCGAACGATAGTATTTGTTCATTTTGAGATAGGTATAACAACAATTTGAAGTAAAGTAAAAATTTTAAATAGAAAAAAGGGGGAAAGAGTTGTTAATTTTTACTTTACTTCTTGCAGACATTCAATAAAAAATGCTAAATAAATTTAAATAAAATCTAGCGAAATTATGCATAATTAAGTGTTAAAAGAATTTCTCATGTTTCTTCATTAGTAAATTCTGAAATTATTGTATTTGAAGGTTCTAAAATTTTACGAAGTATATAATTTATTAAAATTGATAAATATTAGTTGAACGTAAACGTATGGATAGAAGATTAAGTAAGTGATTGTACGCAATTTAAAAAGAGGGAAAATATCATATTTCGCCAAGAAAGTTTGAATCTCACAAAGTGTAGCATCAGCGGATCAACGAATTGCGATGAGTTATTGTCATCCCTAAGCAAGCAGCTGTACTTTAGCGACAAAACATTTCCAGATGTGAAAATCAAGTATATTAAATATACGAATCATTTTCACTCGTCCGAGAAAGTACAAGAAGAAAAGGAATATGAAACACAATCATTTTAATCGTGTCACCAAAATCAAGCTCAATTCACAGGCGCTTCTTATCCGCTTTTTCGTGAAACATTTATTTCTTTCGTTCGCTCTAGTATAATGTATTGTTATTATTATTATTATTATTATTATATATATATATATATACGTAGACACACATGATTTATTGTATATCATTGTTGGATTATATTGTTGCCATCCTTTTGTCATTGCTTCATTATGTCATCATACATATATCATTTGTTCACGCTTTTTTGCTGGTCGGAAAAAAAAAAAATACTTTCAGAGAAGTTGTCCTGGTTTTCAGTAATATACACTGTTACCTTCTACTATTGGAGGTAAATTTTAACTCAACAGCGACGTATATAGACGTTTGCAGCTCCTAAATGATAGAGCTGATTCATGCATTTATTTTAATTGTTCAGATTTGTGTGTAGCATCCGTATTTGCCCGTGTCAGACCTTGAGCGATAGTATCATAGCATTCGTTTAGCAGCATTAAAAGATATTTTGAGACGTAGTACTATTGTTTCCACGTATAACACAATACGGGCAGTCTGTTTTAATCTGTCCATTTTATTATTTTAAAATTACGTTTATTATCAAGAGAAACGTTGAAATTAAAAAAGACTAAATATTAAAAAAAAAAAAAAA